GGTCTTTGTTTTATGAGAAAGAACTAAGTTGTGTGGGTAAGAGGGAAAGAATCTGGAAGGGCTTGGGGGAGGGGAAGAACATGTTCAAAATATATTTAAATTTAAAAACTGTTTGAAATGAAATATTTTTAGAAAAGAATTCTTCTGTTGCCCACTGCTGTAATTTAAAAGAAAAAAAGCAGCTTAAGAGAGAAAGATGCCATGTGACAGAGCTCACATGGGGTTTTTTTATTAGTGGAAAGGGAATGGAAAAAGGAGGGAGGGGAGGGGAGACTGGCCTCTGGGGACAGGAACAACAGAAGAGAAAATAGAGGAGAGAGAGGGAAGGGGGACAGAGAGACAGGCAAAGAAGGAGAGAGAGGGAGGAGAGAGAGGGGGAGAAGAGAGAGGAGAGAGGGAAAGGGAAGATGGGAGGGGGAGAGAGGAGAGAGACAGAAAGAGGAAGGGGGAGAGGGGACGAGAGAGGGGGTAGGCATGGTCCTTTTAAAAGGGAACATAATGAATGTGCATAGGTGGTGCTCTTGTGGCTGCAGCTGAGGGCATATCCTGTCAGAACCCTAAGATCAGGCCAGTACAGATGCCTGAATACTAACAACATTTTGCTAAACTTTCACTCTTCAAATTATACTACTCTCCAACTTCTTTACTCTGTTTCTATTTCTGGAAAAACATTCTTCTAGCAAGTCTGACCCTTTTATTTGTGATCATGGTGTCACTACTTTTGCTGGCATGTTTTAATCACCAAACATTTTACACTCCCAGGTATTTTCTGCTTACAGAAAGTCAAATCTCCTCACCCACAAACATTCCTCAAACTTTTTTTTTTTTTTTTTTTTTTTTTAAACTCTTTTGGCTTTTTGAGCTCTGGAGTGCCTGCCACCTAGCTCCCAAATACATCACACATGGAGTTTTATTACTATTTATGAATGCCTGACTTATTCCTAGGCAGCTTTTGTTATCTTAAATTAACCCACCTACCTTTTTCCTCTTGACTTTTATCTTCCTTACTTTTCTGTATTATCTTGCTTTCCTTCTTCTCTGTGGCTGGCCAGCTGGCTGGGTGGCCGTCTGGGTGGGTGGGTGGCTGGCTGGCTGGGTAGCTGTCTCCTGATGTCCTCTCTCCTCGTTTTTCCATTGCTCCTCTTCCTCTTCCTTGTTTCGCCTTCTCTTTATACTCTTTGTCTGCCTGCCCCACCTATTCTTGCTTGCTATTGGCTGTTCTGCTCTTTATTAGGACCACCAACCAGGTGCATTAAACACAGTAACACAGCTTCACAGAGTTAAACAAATGCAGCATAAACAAAAATCACACACCTGAAAATAATATTCTACCACACAAGCCCTCTCCATTGTCTCCAACTTTGATTCTCTTTCCCCCAGATTTCTTGGGGGATTGACCTACACCTACATTCTCTTTGGTTAATTACTTGGAAACTCTCCATTGTATTGAGATTGCTAGGTCCAATGGTTGTTTCCTAATCCTCTGCCTAAAATTCCACTTATTGGATAAAGTCAACACAGACATTTTTTCCCCTAAGCTGCTGACATTGCACTGCCCTTTTTAAAAATTATTTTTATGTGTATGTATGTGTGCCTGTGTGAGTTTATGTGTACATATGTTTGTAAGTGTTTGCAGAGGCCAGAGGGCATTGGATGCTCTGAGACTGGATTCAGTGTCCACTATGAGCAACTTGATGCGTGTTCTGGCTCTCTGTAATAGCAGTAACTACTCTTTACCACCTAGTCATCTTCAGCCCAACCCTTTCTCCTTTTGGTCTCTCCTTACACCTTAATCACATTAGGGCTAGAAGAACAAGTAAAACATCATTGCAATGAACGTCTGGATTGGGATTTACTAAATGCTCCTTTGTATATATGGAAACATAATTCACATGGTTGATACCTGCCCTTGTGATGATAGCTTATAGTAGAAATGGTCCAGCTTATGAGATTTGCAATACTTAACAACAGGCCTGTAAAGATTTAAACTTTTTACTTCTGTGAATTTGTGAGTGTGTCTATGTGCAAGGATGCATACACATGTGCAGGTGCCCATGCAGGAGAGTATTGGGAGTCTGAATGGTAAACATCAAGAGATAATTGCAAGATGCAGTAAGGACACATGAATAGTAAGTTAATGGCTATTTGAAATAAGTGCAATAAGGAAATACAAAAATCCAATTGATTCCTAAAGATTCCAGTTTTGATATTTGAGCAAGTGATGCTATCTTAACCAAGGAAAAACACAGATCCAAGGACCTACATGTGGAGGTAATATGAAGGTGAGGAGACATGATTTTGTTAGATATGTCATATTTGAGGATGGTTAGATTACACCCAATAGAAATAATAGATATGACTTTAGGCCCAGGAGGAAAATCTGAGCTAAAAAGCAAAGTTTGGAACTGCTCATGTGCCAGAACAAGACAATAAAGCTGGGATGTTGCAAGGCAAGGCTTGTAATTTCAAAATAGCCCCATACAGAAATTTCTCCTTACCACAAATTGGCTTGCCAAGTTCCACACACCATTTTTCTCTGCACACCCATAGTTTATCATGTACAGTTGACCTCATTATTCATCTGCTTGCTTAAATTTGTTTCCCCAGAAGCAACATTCCTGGTGACTCATGTGCCTTTACAGAATATTATCAGTGATCAAAGCAAAACCAAGCCAAGCGAGGCTCCTTGCTCTTCGGCTGGCCTGATGGATTTTCTCCTGCATTCAGTGCCTGAACCTTTGCCTACGCTACCCCCACACTGGGAGGATGCCCCTGTGTCAGGCTTGCAAGTCTTCTCTTACACTTTAAAGTCTTTACTTTGACTTGGATTGAAACTTCCTAAGGAGAAAACATCTTACTTTTTTCAGTGCCACCTTAAAGGTTTCTTTTCTTTTCTTTCTTTTTCTTTTTTTTTTTGTGGGGTTGGGTTTTGTTCTTTGTTTTGGTGGTGCTAAGAATTGAACCCCAAATTCTACGTGTGCTAAAGCTTTTTTGAGTGAAGACACCAAGTATGGATGAATTCTAGGCAACGTTTTGAAATTGTCACTTTAACTTTTTTTTTTTTTTATATCAATATTAGAGCCTTTATGACAGGATTTTTTGAGGGGGTGCTAGAACTAAAATGTTCAAGTTAAACCAAGTTTCTCACCAAAACTTTCCTCCTCCCTTTATGCAAGGCAGATCTTCCCAAGGGAAGCAGAGGTCCTTTCTCCTGTGCCCATACAGTCTAAGTCACCTTCTGCCTTTTGTTTGCAACAGTTCATATACGGGCTTGTCTCATAGGGAAGGCTCTGAGTCTGAAATTGTGAGAAACAGATTTGTGGCTTCTGTCATGATCTGGTTTGGATAATTTCTCACAGAAAAATATACCTGACAGGACTTGTTCCCTGCTGAGGTAACTTCATATGTATGTAAAGCGGTATGGGACCTCCAAAAGCACATCTACTAATATTGATTGCATTTAACATAATGAAGTGCCTTGCTGTGTGCTTGGTTCCTATACCTAGCGGACTGTGATGTGGCTTGTGGAGAGAATTAATTAGAAAAGCAAGGTTCCGGACTTCATACTTGTAGCCACAGGTTCAGCATTAATGTTAGGCATAGGATTTTGTTTTGGCTTTTATGAGACATGCAGAAGACCCCTGCCTTTGTTCTCTTCAATGCAGGCATTACAGGCATAAACCACTATTTCCGGCCAGTTCAAAGCCAATGAATCAGCAATGTAGATTATATTATATAGGGTCCTTACACAGAGATACAGTATTGAGGTTGTATGCAGATTGTCTGCTAAAGAAAAATGTTATAAAAAGAAGTTACAGCAACACACCCTTGCATTTCCGGGGCGGGGCAAAGCTTCAGAACTCAGCAAGGGTGGGAACCCTACACAGAATGTAACCGTTAACATCACCTCAGTCACAGATGTAGACCTCTCAGATACTTACCTTTTATGCAGTGTGGATCACACTGTCATGCACTGACATGTACTATTATTAGGGGACAGGCCTGTTTTCAAACTTGTATGTCTCTTCCAATGGACAGGGCCAAATAAACACAGCTGTACTGGGAAGAGAGCTCAAAGACTGCCTATGTTAAGGCATGGCCTTCTGGGGACGGTTTTGAGAACAGCAAGTCCTAAAATGCTTTAAACACACAAGGCAAATGTAAAGAAAAATAATGTTTTTACTTCTTAGCAACAAGGACCATTAAGCTGACAATAAGCAGCCTTTTGGATTTTTAATCTAGAATATCCATGACATTTTTTCCATAAACAGTACAATTGTTTAGTGAAAGGATAGCAGGGCAATCAATTTTATGTGAACTTTACTATCATTACTCAAAATAATTTTGTAATTTATAAATTAGTAATGACTCCCCCCCACCAGAAGTCAGATAATTTTAACACATTTGAAATTAGAGTATAATCACTTATACAACAATGACACGATCTTAAGTTGGATATCAAACCCAAATTACAGACTAGCAGAAGTTCAGAGTTCTAAAGTACTAAGACTGGTAAACACTGCATAGAAGGTTGAACGGCAGGTAGCCCATGGACCATTTGTAATCCACCTCAAATGAAGGAGCTGTGCCTCAGGGACACAGTCACCAGACACCTGCCACAGGAGAAATGCTGACTCCTTCTAAGACAGCCGCCTTAGACTGAAGAGCTAGTGCTGCAGGCCTGTCTCCAGAGTGGTTTTAATTCCACTGTTAACTGGGTAACCTCAGTGGGGAAATAATTAAAATGACAATCCCATTGCCTTCTATACACCACCTGTTCCAATATTCCACCTACCCAGATCCATCCAAAACAGCAATTCAAGTTTTAGGGACTACCCAACTTCAACAGCTCTCCTCAGACGTGTGTGAGCTGAGTGCCTTGATTCTCAGAGGGACTCTCTAGGTTCCTACTCAAGCAAGAGACACGTCACCTGCTCTTGGCGGATTTGTTCTTCAGACTTGCATGGAGAAGAGTAAGAATTAAGGCATTTTCAGAGAGATTCTCTCAAAAGACATTTATTTCCACATTTCTTTCATCATGGGAAATATTCCAATTCACCTTCATGGAAAGACCATTCTTATATTCTGTGCACAATCACTAGTTATTGTTTTACAATAAACAATGTCTCAAGAAAAGATGACAGAGTTTACAACTTGGTAGCCCATTGACTAAGGGGAACAGGCAAAGTACCTCAGGATTCCTCAGGGAAAGAAAGACAATGAAATTATTTTTTTTTTTTTTTATCAAGTGTCTTAAAATTAAAATTTCAAATGTTTACTTTTAGGGTCTGGCATAATACTTTTTAAAGTTTTACAATAAAATACCACCTTTTGGGAAAGTAATCACCTTCCCTAATGACTGACTAATGACTTTACCTGAATTAACACTGGTGGCAAATACAGAAACATTCAATAATTGACCAACAACTCCTCAGCTTTAGACACATAAGAGTTAAATGTAACATCTTCTGTGTATAGCTTACTGGGCTAACAGATGACTTCTTACAGAATACATCTTTATTATTCCTAAGACAGGGTTCCTTTGGCACCTGAGTTGAGCACAATACACAAGCAAAGAGTCTAATGCAAGGTTGTTTAAAGGCTCTATTTTATCTGTATATGCATATATACATATACCTGTACACATACATCACATATACAAAGGGCAACTTCTCCTTTAAAGATGACAAAGTTAAAATTAACTTGATATTTAGTCAAACACCCAATGCTCATTTAAAATAGTTTAAAGTCAGCTAATGAATTTGAAATTTAACGATTTCAAGAATTTACAGGTTGTTAGACTAAACCCAATTCAATGTGGAAATACAGTTTTTATTTTTTGGCAATAGAGTTTAATATAGTAGCATATTCATTTGACCAGTTATCTTAATATGACATTATTATAGACCTTTTATGGACACTAATGGGAAATCACCAGAGCATTCCCCAAGCCCCCTCCCATTAGGATTGAAAACAGTAACTGACCACTGACTCAAGGACAGACTCTCATTGTGTTGTTTCCAGCAGAACCACACACACATACAACATACACCACACGCACGCACACAGACAGACCCTGAAGATAGCTGCCTGTCAAGCCTCCTCACTCACTAGGATTTTCACATAACAACTCCAGCAGTGCATAATGTTTTATGCTACTTACTAAAGACTCTGGTGTTAACAATTCTACCAATACTCTGGTACTTTTGTGGATGACTAAACAAGGGCTTGCGTTATCAGATTTAGGATACACCCAACACTAAGTAAGCTGCCTGGACTTAACATTTCCCTTCATGAATATGTCTAACTGACTGAAATTAGAACATGTTTGGTTTTACCCATCCTCCTCCACTCTAATATTTCCAGAGGACGAGGAGGGCCTCTTTAATTTGCATACCATGCATATCCATCTTCCAGACCTCATTAGCTCTGATGTATGAAGAGTGTGCAAACACATCTGGGTTGGAAAATAATCATGCTTTGACTCAGCTTGCAGAGAAGCAACCTGGATCAGCCTTGACTCCTCTCTGTTTTGCTTGATAGGCCCTCTCACAGAGCATACCACACACAACGGAAATCTTACACAGTTTCCAGTTGGTGGTAACTGGGAAGCATTTTCAATTGCAAATGTCTCTGAAGTATTAATAATAATGTCTAGTACATAATGTGTATATACTTGACATTGTTTTCCCAAACAAATTCTGTTAATAGAGTCATGGCATAGGGCTTGCCTTAAGAGAACCTACTATATTCCAATGTTTTTGTTTTGTTCAATCTTCTCTAACCATAATATAACCCATTTTTCTTGATATGTAAAACATTTTATAAGTTCAACTGAACTTGAATTCTTTAGTTGCATGTAAACTCACATGCACAATTTACATTTTTGTCATATACTTAAATATTTTTGTCTGTAAAACAATTTCAGGACAGGAAATGATATGCTAGCAAATAGAAACCTAGCATTTAAACTGTTCCCTAAGTTGTTCTAAGCAAAAGTGCATTTGTAATATAAACATATCATATATGAAGCCAAAAACACAATCTCACACCAGAGAAGATTTTAACTTTCCAAGTTAGTCCAGATGAGTCACAGAGAAAAGTGCTAACACAGCAAATCTGGAACAAGTTCGTGGGGGCTGGGCAAGGAGTCGTCAAAGCGAAATCTTTTGGAAACCATGCTACTATCCTCAGGGATATTCTCCTTGTCCTCCCGGTCTCCACAGCTTCCATTACAGGAGGACTTGGGGGTTTTATCTTCAGAGGACCTGAGGGTATGATCCTGGATTTCAGAGGAACCTGAAGTTTCCTCAGGGTGAAATAAGCTTCCAAAGTCCCACTGCTGTAGCCAAGAATGAGAAAGGCAGGATTCCGCTGTTAGTCTTTCCCTTTGGCAGAAAGCAGAAAGGGAAAAGTGAGCATGTGAACCAAGATGAGGACATCTTCCGATTACATTTTAAAACGAACACGAAGATAGCACATATCATAAGGCCAACCAGTACACTAGATACAGCTAACTTTTATTAACTGCTTAGGCACATGTCAGGGGCTATTTCACATACTTCAATATATTATTTAATAATCACGATAAACTAAGAAATAGGTTCCATTATTGTCATTTAATAGATGATTGAAGGAGATACCTAAAGACTTGTATTTGGAGCAAATTTCCCCAAGCTGTCAGTGTCACGTGCTACAGTCTAGATATTGAACGTTTCCCAAAAGACCCTACGTTAAAGATTGGGCCACCAGCCTGTGACATTATTGGAAGGTAGTGGAACCTTTAGGATATGACTTGCTGAAGACAGTTGAAGCACTGAGGATAAACCTAGAAGAGATAAAGTAACTGAGCCTTCTTCATATGGCCTGTCATGTTCCATCTCTCCACAGCTCCAAACAAGAAGACAACTGGCACATACTGAGAGGTCTTGAATAAAGCCTCTCCTCCTTGTAGCTGAAGGCCTGTATGGTAATGAAGCCTGCTTAGCAGTCAAGTGGAGCCTTGGTCTACAGTTTATACTTACAAGTATCTACCTAAGGAAGTGAAAAGTAAAATTCTGTCCATTTCACCTCCAAATAGTTTCTCTATGACCATTTTTGTCATTTGTCCACCTGATAATGCACCATTTTAATTTTATTAAGCAAAACCATTTTATTTTAATGAGCTCAGAAATAAAAACCTCATTTAAGTAGCCACCAATCACAAGCTGCATTTCAGCGACCTTCTACACACTTAGGATGGTATTCTGAAGCAATGGAGCTTCACTTAGGGTTTTACAGTCTCACTGCCAATTACATTTGTATGCACTTACCCAACATCACCACACACTCACGAGGGGGGTGGGTTCCTTTTCCTGCATTCTGTCCTTCCTCATTACTTGATGTCACCCTGTCTTGGTCCCCTTTGTAAATGCCATACTATACTTACACTTTGAGCTCTTTACATCTACACATGCATATGTTACAGCATTAAGACCCACACATTAGGAAGAACATACAGGCTTCTCTTCTAGTTGGAGGCACCTTGCTCAATATACTTTCTAAGTTCACCCATTTTCCTACAAAGTTCACGATTTTTCTTTACAACTCAGTATTTTGTTTTGTATATATACCATATTTTCATTATACATTCATCTACTGATGAACATCTAGATTAGATCTATTTCCTTGCTTTCATAAATAAAGCATAAATAATCATGGGTGTACAAATATTTCTATGGTAGGATATAGGGTTCCTCTGGGTCTATATCCTGGTATGAAATAGCTGGGTCATATATAATATATTTTGAATTTTAGAGAATCTACAAGTTAATTTCCATAATGACTATATTAACTTGGAGTCTCAAAAGCAGTGAATAAGGATTCCTCATTCCCCAAATCCTCTCCAATGTGAGTTATCAGATTTGTTGACAGCCGCTCTGACTGAGTAAGGTGGTAACTCAAAGTAGATAATACAACTTAAGTATCTTTCTACATCAATACATAATTGATAGATATTTTATTTGTCACTCTTCCATTCTGGTATACCACAATCTGTTTAACCAAAGCCCTACTAGTGCTTCCCAAATCTTGTTACCAACACTAGTCTGATGAACACTAAGGAAATGCTTTCTAGAAACTTGGTTGATTATCTCCAGAACAGCAATTTGTTTTTTTGTACTTTGAAACATGGTTTTAGGTGTTCTCCAAATTACCTCTAATATTCAACAATACAAGTATCTTCTAGAGGATTATGGAAAACAATTAAGTTCTTATAGTATTCCATTATGTACTTCTTGAACTTCCTTCTTTAATCTCTGTTATCAGTATTAGTTTTCAGTACTAGGGATCAATCCCAGGGCCTTACACAAATAAGGAAACTCTACCATTTAGGTTTACCCTCAGCCCATGAATTTATATTTGTGTAAGGTAATACAAAAAACAAAACTGACCGCTAAACTGACCACTTAGTGGGTCAATTCACTTCCTGTTGCCTATGAATTAGAGATGTAGTATTCTCTAGTACCATATCTGACTGTATATTATCATACTCCCAGCTGCCACACTTCCTCCCTGCTATGATGATAATGGACTGAACTTCTGAAACTGTAATCTGCCACCTCAATTAAATGGTTTCCTTTTATAAGAGTACCATGGTCATGGTGTTTCTTCACAGAAATAGAAACCCTAACTAAGACGATTTTTTTTTTTAAAGCCAAAATGGTCAGTTCAAAAGAAATATATGTGTAAATACTGCTAGTAAGTGACACGCTTAAACACTGCATGTTTCAATTATACACAAAGACACAGAATGGAAAGAATTAGACAATAATGAAGGAAATGGCTTTGCATTTCCGCTTCACCTCCATGTCTGACGTCTGCTCATGGAGAGGTTCCTTTATACATGAAGATGCTTTATTCACAATAGCTGAGAGTAAAACAGCAGTGCAGATGCTGTCACCCTGACCTATGCTGAACAATAAATGTGTCAGAGAACTAGATGAAAATCTTGTCAGGCTTGAAGGCATGTGCTGGCCAAGCAAACAAATGTTAGTGAAATTATCAAATCCCTTCAGTTTAGAAAGCCTCTGGAGGAATTTATTAGTTTATGCTCTTAAAAATAGTGACTGTGCTGGGCATTGGTGGCACATGCCTTTAATCCCAGCTCTTGGGAGGTGGCCTATAGAGTGAGTTCCAGGACAGCCATAGCAGTAATACAGAAAAACCCTTTCTTGCAAAACTTAAAAAAAATAAAAAGGAAAAAACCAGACTCAACAATATTTACCCAATACTTTGAGTCTTAAAACTGCTTTCTATTTTTCAAAAGCAGGAGAAATACCTATAAACTCAAAGGTTAAATAGGAATCATTTGGTAGATATTTCTAGTCTTTTGTTTGTATGTATAGTCTTTTATAATTACAGTAGTAGTATTCTCATTGCAGAGAATTTAGACTCTAGGCAAAGCCTATGTAAGAAAACAAAAATGGCTTGTACATACACAGAAAACACAATATTATTCTTTATATGAAATATGTATTCATGTCCAAAATACACAGAGTCTTTTTGTTGTTGTTGTTTGCTTTGCTTTTTCTTGCAGATAAAGAAACTGAGTCTTCCAGGAGATTAACTGCCAAGAACAGTTAAAAGTGAGACCACTGGCCCCCAGGACACAAGCCAGCCTTGAAGAAGAGCTGGGCCTTTCCTTGCCTTGAAGCTGCCAATGGTCAAGGTCTGGATCAAATCCTTCCTTCAATAAACCCCATGATGCACTGCATTTTAAGCATATGCTAGGGTGAAAGATATTCTATGGTCCAGGGCTTTCTTCTTTTAAGCAACCAAAATTGGAGTATTCTTATATATAAAGTGAACTCACACATGAGCAGACATCTAATCCTTTAAGACTTAGAACATTTCCATACATGCACAAAATACAGTTTTCCTCAGGACCCCACCCACTTTCATAGTAGTTCCCTTCAACTTTCATGTCACCCATCATGGTTTCAAAACATGGGATAAAACATATATTACTTGCATTTTGTGTGTGTATAGAATGTATCTTCTTAATAAATACATGTTATTTGTTTTGTAAGTGCATCTAATTAATGTCATTACTTACTCTGGATTCTTTACTAGAAGGCTCTGGATGAAGTCAGTGGCCAGTTGTGAAACTGATGAGAAAGTTTCTTCCGAATAATCTACATTAACTTGAGAAATATTCAGGTATGTTTCTTGATTATCTTCTCCTACAAATGGTGATGTATGAGTTAACAACATATACGCTATTATGCCAATATTCCTGAAACAAATGAGGGAGAAATAAATGTACATTAACAGTATTTATAGGCAGTACTACTAATAGTCCACAAATTCCTGACCTCAAAACTGTCACAGTTTAAAAAGACTTAAATTACTTCTAGGGATTACTGTAGTATAAAAACTAAAATAGTTACATTACTTCCATTCGCATTACAAAGAGTACAGGGAGTCCACACATATGTTACATATAATACCAACATAATCCATTGAAGATATTTTATCTACAGTCTATTCAACATTCAGTATAGACACATGCTGGCTACAAAAAGCAGCTGCATTTTTCAAAGTCTATCCAATGACACAATAATGATCTGAATGATATAGCTAGTTGTGTAAACCCAGTCTGCGAGTTTGGCAAAACCCAAGATTGGATAGGCAAATTTTTCAAGCTGTAAACATGTGAATGTCAAGGCTGGTGAGGAGCTAGAACAAGACAACACAGCATGCTTTACACATGTACTAGTCACCAGATCTTCTCTATCATTGCAAACACGTTAGTTTTAAAGAACCAGGAGGTGATCCCAAATAACAATCTGAGTGAGCAACAGTGGAAAGGCTACCTTATATGCCCTTCTCTGGTAATGACATTGAGGACTAACTTATCCGTCACCATAGAGCCCTCATCTAGTTAAACAGAAGCAGACACCCACAGCTAAACACGGAGCCGAACTCCTGGAATCCAGTTACAGAGAGGAAGGAGTGATAAGAAAAGGGGTCAAGACCAGGCTACAGAAACCCCAGAGACAGCTGACCTGAACAAGGGGGAGCTCATGGACCTGCATTGACCAACTCAGACCCCCTGAATGTGGGTCTCAGTTAGAAGGCCTAGACAGTCTAAGGGACCTCTGACAGTGGAACCAGGATGTATCCCTCATGCACGAAAGAACTTTGGGAGCACATTCCCCATGGAGGGATACTCCCTTAGCCTAGAGGCAGGAGGGAGGGCCTAGTCCCTACTCCAAATGACTTGACAGATTTAGATGACCCCTCCTGGAAGGCATCACCCTATATGTGGAGTGGGGGAGAGGGGTTGGGAGAGAGAGGGAACTGGGATTGATATGTAAAATAAAATTATATATCCAGAAGAATAATGCTAAAGTTTGCACTTGGCCTAGGAAGTCAGTCTGTTGTCACAACAGAAGTTCCATTGCCAACCCTGGTGCTGCTCCCTGTCAGGGTCGCTCTGAGACAGCTGCAAACCACACAATTCCCTAGAGGTGAATCCTGTCAACTGAGCTACTATGTGCATCTGACCTCCTCCTGCTCAGCAATACCATGCCCAACCCTTCTAGACTTGCATATCTAGACTCACATAGCTAAGCATAGCATCATGTCTAGCTGTGACTGATGTGTCATCCTAGCTCTTGAGTGTTTTACTTAACTACAGTGTGTCACTGACTAGGGTTGCTCACTGTTACTCAACTGAAGTGACCAGAGAAAGGAAGTTCCTACTTCTGTACCTCTAGCTCAAGAGCTTACTGAAAAGAACAGGCAGGTCAAAAGTCTTCAATGATATCTTCTGAACAAAATCTTTGAAAGAAAGCCTTATTTTTTTACTACTAAGTTTCTAAAAAGTAAGTATTTATTATCTAATTTTTGAAAGGTGATATTTAGATCACGTATAGACTCTTACCACATATCTGTTGCTGTGGTAATGGGATCATAGTTGAGGATTTCTGGAGCTGAAAGAGAAAATTAAATTAAGATTCAACATAGGCAAACTTTAAAAACACAACAATCACCTGGCATTAAATTACAATTTGATTTGGTTATAGAAGGCATAATAATACAAGGTCAGTAGGAATTTAGTAGGATTTTAATTATTTTAAGATTATTGTGAACATTGCATGATGAAGTGGGCAGTAGGCCAAGTCACTGCTGTGCTCCTTGAGGGGCTAGCAGCTGTGCATGCCGGAGAGCCAGTGGATCAAAGCAGACCTCAGAGAAGCCATTATGAAGACATGAAATGGCAAAAGCCAGAATCTTTACAACTGTAGTCTTACTGCTGTGTTATTAATATATATTATTTTGTTAGCCTCAGGTAAGCTTAACTTTTCATGGATCATGTACTTTTAATGACAGTGCAAGAAAAAAAATATGAGGCTTCTTACAAATGCTAAGATTTTCAAGCAGATTATATATTCTTAAATTATCAAAAATCTAACTTCCTAAGTAATTTTTGGCTGCCTCTTTCCTTGTCCCCACTCCAAAAGAAAAAATAAATTCTCTATAGTTCCTGAACTCTACAGTGAATTTCCAGTTAGTAAAACTCCAAATAGTATTTACAACCAAAAACTATTCTCAGTATGGTTTTATAATCTCTTCAAAAAAGTTCTCAACTCTAACATCCTCATGAATGATACTTTTGAATCATATATGCTGTCAGCCTCACCAAGCTGCCTATAACCTTCCTGCATACCTCCATAAGCTATGTTATCATTAATGACAGCTGTCATTACTAGGACACTATAGCCCATATTAGTATCCAACAGTTAGTATAGTAATTTTCATTTCTGGGAGATAACTGCCTAGTTCATGGAACTTTCTCTGTTAGCTTATCTTTCCAATAGAGATGTTCATTTGGGCAGTAACAGAAGGAAAAAATATCACTGCTATCTCTAAATATTTGAAGCTTATATGCTGTTTCACACATCTTAAGTATCTTCTGTAGGCATAATCAAATTTGTTGATTTAGTACATTATCCTCAGATTACCTAGTCATCTTTGGTATCCCTTCCCACCACATCTTCTCTTTACAGCCCTATTAACTCTTACATTTGAAAACAACAGCAACAAATAACAAATGACACCCACAAAACCAAAGACTGCACTGCATATAGCTTTGGGGTTAGGACCAGACAGAAGCAGAAGTGAGGGCCAGACTCAACGGTTCACAGACCACTGAGTTCTGTTTCTCTCCTCTGCCTTTTGCCTATTTGCTACTGATTTTCCTTTTCTCCTTACATACAAAGCCAGTACAGGCAAGCACTATACTTTTACACTTAGCCAATGTCCTGTGAGTTGTTATGAATGTTTATTATATTCCTGTACTCACTATAATTCATTTAATAAGTTATAACCAAATTTGAATGCATTAAACTTTTTAAATCAAATGAACCTTGGTATTGTGTAATCCAAAATATGTGAGGGTTTTTCTAGTTTTGGTGCTAAGAAAGCACTCTACCACAATAGCTATATCAGTATCATAAAATACAGTTTTAAAGAGGTATCTATAATTTCAAAATGGTATAATAAAATGGGTTTCTTACCTAAGTATTCAGGTGTTCCCATGATTTCTCGAAGCTCACAAGCATTCCCAATTTTTCGAGACATTCCAAAATCTACAATTTTTATGTCCCCAAGTGGGTATATACTGCTCAATAGTATATTCTGTGGCTAAATAAAGCACACAAAAGGTGATAAGCAATAGAAATAAAAGGCTACTTGTTCTAGATTGAAGGTAAAACTAGTATAACGTGTTGCTTAGCTCTTACACATTTCTTAGAGTACTTCATCCAACATCCACTAAACTGCCAATTAGGAGGAGTACACATTTAATAACAAAGAAACTAAAAAGGCAGTCAAGATGGATTTTCAGTTTGTAAGATGTTGGGTTGATTTTGAGATATGGAATATATAATAATAAAGACAAGAGTACCACATTCTGCCCACAAAAAGTTCAAGTGACAAACACACATGCACACTCGCGTGCACTCTCTCTCTCTCTCGCTCTCTCTCTCTCTCTCTCTCTCTCTCTCTCTCTCTCTCTCTCTCTCACAGTCTTGGTGGAGTGCTGATGCTCAGGCTGAGTCTTACAGGACAAGAAGGAATCTGTCAATTAGAAAGTTGCTCTTGAGACTAAGCGTGAAAGGACTAACATGCAAATCCATGTCCAGAGTAGAAAATGATCCCATACAGTATATGGTTTTGGTGAGCTGGGCCTGATTGTACCAGGTTCATGGCTTAGAAAGTAAGATGTGTGTGTCCTCCACTATCTCTGAGAGCTACATGACTTGACTTTATTATTGGAGTTGTAGAGACAATGACAAAGTGACCTATCAGAACCCATTATAAATGCAAGCCATGCTCACCAAAGTCTGGGCAAAAAATCCGAATAGTCTTTAACTTGGAGACAATTCCATACTCCACATTAAATCACAAGAGACTATTACAGGAGACAAGTAAACTGTTGTTGGCTTCATGGTAACAGTGTTAAAAGCCAGGTTTATGGGCCACCCAACTTCAAGTGCTATGTGACACAGTTTGTCTTACACAGGACAAAGACCAAACAGCTGCTGATCACAGTTGATTACCTGGCATTTACTATGCTGCCTGTTTCCCAACCATGTGATTACAGAATAGTGGGGAGACTAGATGGTAAAAACTTCCTCCCCTTCCACAGGGGAACAAATACACATGAAGTTTTTGTTTTGTTTTTTTAAAACTATAGGATAAATAGCTGGGCAATGTACATTTTAAAGTATAGAACTTTTGAATGGTATTGAATCTACAGGTAGAAAAAGATTTGGAAATTAGAGATGGGTCTGGGCTATGATAGGCATTAATCCTGGAATTATAATATGAAAGTGGCAGAGGAACCTAAAGGCAGGCAAACTATACAGACAGAGCAGAATCTACTGTTTAACAAAAAGGAGACAGACTCTTCAGATTTTAGGGCCTGTGATTAGCTGTGGAGGACAGACAAGGAACACCACTACCTAAGCCAATGGTTCGGGGGACTTCTGACTCTAACTAACCTACAGATACAGAGGATATAACCTTAGAGAAAGTGAGTGAGCTATGGAAGCAGAGGAATGAGGAAAGGTAAGAGGGTATCAGACAGCAATCAGAACCAATCACTTCTGAGGGGGATGGGTTAGACAGGTTTGAGATGTGCCTCGTAAAGCAGGATGGATTACATATAAGGGTGATGGATTTTAAGTGGTTGAATTCAAGCTTGCTACGAGTACATCATCTCCTGTCTGCCAAGACAAAGTAATGCCCAATGCAGCCCTACACAGGCAGAGGCGCCTCCATGTCTAGAAGACCATGACACACTTCATTTCTACTAACACCAGCCTGACACTGAACTCCCAAGAACAGAGTAGGAACACTAATGTTAGTTTAAGTCACACTGCCATACCTTTAAGTCAAGGTGAACAATGTTATTCTGATGTAGATAATAAATTCCTTCAAGTATTTGTTTAATGAGTCTGATAACATCATTTTCAGATACCATTTCAGCCAACTCAGGTAAACACAGGTTGAAAATTTCTCCACCTGCAGCACTGAAAGAAAATTCAAATAGAACTATTAAAAATCATTTATCTAAAAATAGCCTTTAATATTGTATACTCATTAAGTAAATGTTCATGTAAATGTCTGCCTGTGCGTGTATACCATTTCAGTGGCTGCCAAGACTAAGAAACATGTTGTATGTAGGATATGACAGTCTCAAACCTAAGTTCCAAGCATCAATACTTCACACCGCAGTTGTCAATTGTCAACAGTTAATTTGTACATAGCATGCCAAGGAAAACCACGAGAATTTGCTGCTGACACTTGGTTTATGACAACATGGAAAAAAATGTAAGGAACATGTCTGAAGGCACCAAACACATATACGCCATTTCAATCCTACCCTACTCACCAAAACATGAAAATTCAGGAGAAACTAACTTCATTATCTGACTCAAGGTATCATGATAAAGGCACTGTAAGTACCAGAAATTTCACACTGCTATTGCATTTATATTAGTAAACTATAAAATCAGGTATTGGAAGGCAACATACAAAAAACTGCAATCAGGAAAAAGAAATAGATTTATCTTTATGAATATTTAATATATTGGCCACTTTTTTCCACACATTTCCCCAAGGTCTCTTGAGGAAGAAGTAGGAATCCATGGTGTAAGCTGGCAATATAATTTTACCCCTCCCTTTTTAGTTACACTATTTACAGTAACTAAAAATCCCACTCAAAAATAGAGTGGTCTAGCTACATTCCTGCAATGGTGCCAAAGTAAGATTAGCAATTATAACAATTCTAAGAAGGTAAAATAAATAAATACATAAATAAAAAGATGACACATTAGGTTTCCATAAACTTGTCTGCTAGTCACTAGTACAGAATATGCCATGAACTGAGAACATCACAGAGAGTAAGACACAGGTCTGCAGGGTACATGAGTGCCACAAAGAGCAACACCACATATTCTGGCTGATGCTACATTACTTACACACTGCACTTTTAAAAAGGTCTTCTACAATGGCATATTTAATTGACAAAACTTTGTAATTTTCTAACAAAAAGGGTATCTTACTTCTGCCCTACATAATTGCAAAGTTATTGTTGTAAATTATAAGCAAGTTCCTTTTTTAGTTGTTCTGTAACAAGGGCAGCTTTTGTCTCATAGCCTTCAAAAAATTAATAAGTATATACCACAGTCAATTTTAGTTTGCTCAAAATTCAGCACTATTAAAACTTTCTATGTCTATTTAGGAAACATCTTCCCTTTATTAGTTTCTGAAGGTATTCTCCTTCATTACCTGTATATGCCTTTAAAACAGTTAGTGTGGAAAATGGCTTCACTTCATTGGGGATGCAGTGACTCATCTATTCTCAAAATCCCAATCTATAAAAGATGTAACAATACCACCTTCTAGAAAAGCAGCATTTACTTATTTACAGCTAGAATGAAATATTTTTATGTGGGCTATGTATGTTGGTAAAAATAAAAAGATCTAAAACATATTTGAAAGTGACAAGGTGATTACAAGAATTTTGTTTAATTTACAAAAGTAAACACTGGTTTTAAAAAGGTTTGGATTGTGGCAAAACAGCAAAATACAAAAATACAATAGAACTATCAGAACCCCTAGCTATATTAATTGCTAAAGAAAGTTTTACATGTATTTGTAATTAGCAAATGCAGTGACTGAAAACAGTGCGTTTTAAAAAAACCATGGGGGATTCAGACATTGTGTATAGTTCGACATGCACTTGTTCTTTGAGCCAGCAATCAACTTCTAGGAATTTACCCTGACCTCCACCACCAGAAATAAATACCACCTATGCACGTGAGCTGAGTCAAATGGTAAACCATACAATGGAGTCCTTTGGAAACTAGCCATACATGGGGTTGGGGGTCACGGCACAGCAATACAGGTCCAGAGTTCAATCCTTATTAACACACACACAAGCTTGCAGACACAAACACCACACATTTTATGTCTGAGTCTTAAATTGTGCAAACTTTTTTTTTATAGTTACTGATTTTTTTTAACAAAGTTTTAAAATATAAGGTCCTATCACTGAATATAAACAGAAGCAAATATACCTAACCTAACTCTATAACTGACTCTCTGAATTCACGCCATAGTGGGCAATACTTTTAAAAGAATGGCAAAATAGAAAAGAAAATGGGGGTAGGGAATCTAGTCACTTGCTGCTAGGTGTGGTAATAGCAGGTTTGTGCTGAATTGCCAGATACCACACCACTGAAAACCAGATCATCACACAGCGTGGGCTGACCAGGTTCAGCCAGGGAAGATTCAAGGAAATCTTAGCGTGCAGAATCAGGAAGTCTCCAAATGTTAATCCAATCACATCAGAAGGATACAGGATGGAGATTTAAAGCCTACCTGACAAATTTTAATCTTTGATAAATTTGGCACACAGAAAAACAATGGAAGAACCTGATTAGGGCCTACTAATTTAATCATAATGGGCTATTTTTAATTAATGCTAGCTAACAGTTTAATGAAACCATTAATACATAGTGATAGTCAGAAGGGAGACAGGAAAAAGAAACACTTTGACTAGAAGGACACCGGTTTAGTAAATGTAGAGTGAATAATGGGGTTAGACAGAACTATGTCCCAAGATTCACTGTAACTGCTAATTCCAGGAACAATGTCAATGGCTACTGGGATTTCTTCAGGAACGTGTGTCATAGAAAATGGTATTTCACCAGCTCATCACTCACATTAGTACCTAACTACAAAGGGATGCTGTTTCTTTACAATGAATGGGAGATCTGGCAGGTACCACCTTACTCATCTCCAAATTTAACAAAACCAGCTGACATTAATGCCATTTGATGTGACACATTATATCACCCACACTACTGTCCTTACCAAACCTGTTACAATCTAGTGATGGGGATACAGTCAGACAAATCTAGAAAAAGTGTCATTTCCCATGACAAATTATATGCATTCACCATCTCCAAAAGTCAATGTCATAAAAATGTCATTAAAAAAAGTCAATGATTAAAGAGACTTTACAAATAAATATAACTACATGAATCTTGACTGGATTCTGAGATGGAAAAAAAAAATTCTTATAGTTTGGAGCCTGTCAGAAGCATTTCAATGTGGACTAGGAATGACTCAATGCATGCTGACTTTCTGATGTCTGATGCTCATGTTGGTTACACAGAAAAAAATACCTTATTCAAAACAAATCCTGCAGTATGCAAAACAGAAACAACTTGCAATCTTCAAGAGGTTTAGTGAAGAGGCCAAACTATCAACAACTGATGGTAAATCTTCAAAGTGAATATTTTCATCATATAAAACATATGCTTCCTTGTGAAAACAAATCTGTCTGTCAAATTGTTAGGAGTAAATGAAAATGCCCAGTAATACACTGCCAGCCCAAAAGTCATAGGTACAATTAAGCTCCAATCCTAACAATAAATTTTAGTCTTAGTCACTTTAAGAAATTAAATACACTAATACTCAAACACTTGCTGAGAGCTAGTGATATGTATTAATTCAGTAGTAAGGTACCTGCATCCATTTTCAGACTGTAAACATGAACTATGCATAAAATAAATCATATTCTGAGGAATTTTGTTGTAGCTTCACATGAACTCCAAATAGGATTTTATTAACACAGTCAATGTCTTACACATACTCATTCTCCACATTAACCATTCTCCTCATTAACCATTTTTTTATGTTAACAACCTTTCCCATAGTTTACAGGACGGTAACTATTTACAGGAAAGGCAGCTAAGGAATCTTTGACCAAGTAAACACAAAATATATGAGAAATGAAATGGCATTGGTATCCTGACCATTCCTGCTAGTATAACTTACTCTGAAGGTTCTATAACAGACTTACATGTGAGTTTAACCATTTAGGCAAAATCAGCACTTTCCTTCACAAATTAATTTTAGTTGAATCTATTTCCTTGCACAAAACAATTGATTTTCAAAATCTATATAAACAAAGCTCCACTTCCTTATAATATAAATACTAAAATAAAATCCTTGGGAGCTAGAGCAGAGACTCAGCAGGTGACAGGCTTACCATACAAGCTTGAGGATCAGACAGGTATTGTGGCCCACCTATAATCCTAATGCACAGGAGGAAGGGACAGGGGATCTAAGGAAACAGCAGGCCTAGCAGCAGGCCCAGCAGACAAGCAGAAACAGAGAGCTCTGGGTTCAGAGAAAGACCCAGCCTTGATATATAAAGTGGAGACCAACTGAGGAAGACATCTAAACTGTTTCTGGCCTCCACGTTTGTGCACTGCACACACACATACCCCACATGTGAACACATACATCACTACACCCCATATACACACAGCTGTGCAATAAAATAGGACAAATACACTTTTAAATTCAAAGGGCAATGATATACACTGGAAGGAAAAAAAAAAGAATTACTGTAGCTTGTAGCACTATTTTCTCTAAAATAGTACTTATCTTTTTTAGTAAATTAGATTTACTTTATTAAAAACCTATCAAAACCTGAGGTAAATTCAGTATTAATTTACCTGATCTCTTTCCAGTGTTGTTCATTTTCAAAAATTTGTACTATATTTACTGGATGTTAATCTATGGGGTAGCAGGCCACTGCATTCTGAGCTCGACACTTACACTAACTACTTCATCAATTATTGAGCATTTTGGTGTTTTCAATGTTTCACTAACAAGAGATTTTTTTCTTTCTCAACTACAGTTCCTGACAGTCTTTTACATCGTATGTGCTATAAATATCTTAATAATGTCAGAGGCGATAAAACCTCTTCTTGAATCACTTCCTTGGATATATTTTATTAAAATAGGTTTCAGAAAACATAAAAATGCTTCACTTTTATGTCATTATTTTCTAGAAGAAAACCTCAATTTATGTACTATTAATATGGAACTGAATTCTTGTAATCATATTCTCAAATTATTGTGTTGTCTTTTATTTGTTACCTGCTGTTAGTTAGTTTTGGTGTTTAAGTATGAGGCTATACATTTAGCCTTGTCAAAATGCATAAATATAAACTATGTGTCTCTATTATGTATCAACAGGCATCTTTATAAATTTTGTCATAATGTTATCACTAACTATCTTTGACATTTCATACCATAGTCTACCAATTAAAATAAATACTTTAAAATGTATAAGAAAGCACATACTTACTATTCTAACACCAAAATGATTTCAGTTGCATTTTCGTAGACTTCATGAAGATTAATCACATGGGGACAGGCCCTGGCCAGCTCCAACACAGCTATCTCATGTAGAATCTCTGCACGGCAATCCTGGCCTCTTCTCCTCTTTTTCAGAAATTTTGCAGCATACTCTTGACCAGTAGATTTTGATATACATTGTCTAACCACAGCAAATTTTCCTCTAGAGAAAGAGAAAAAGGACAATTCCATACCTTCAACTTAAAGTAAATTCTTTCACTTATCTGTGCCATTAGAAAATTTTCTTTTCTTTATAAACTGAATCGAATATCTTATGTTCTTTTTTATAAAGTCTACAATGCTACCACAGCAGGATAATCAATTTATTTTTACTATTAGTATGATACATTTTCAATGTACCTGATAATTTTGTTTGCCTACAAACTCTATGCTTCTAATAGACACATAAGGGATATGGAGCCTATAGAGAGTACTAAAATGCATTTTATGATCAGCCAAGAAAATTCAGGGTTATCAACAGTTTAGTATAAGCACATCCAGTAATGTCATGTTAATCGCTCTAGGAAAGTGCAAATGCCTTTATCTCTTTAACAGACATACTTAACATCCCACCCAAACTTAAAACACAAAGATTATTTCTCCTGTTATATGAATGTATTTTAGCATTTAGTTTTACAAAGATGTAAAGCTATTTTGAAGCAAGAATTATCTAAAGCACTAATAAAAGCTATTGACTTGCATACTCCAAAAATGGATACATGCCCTTAAATAGGAATTCTGGAGAGTTTCAGGCCATAAACCTTCTGGGTTTTACTCTAAAAGATCTTAATTTAATAACCTCCACACTAAGGATAAGCCACACTCTAGTTTCTGATACTAAAAGGCACAAATAAATCTCCAGAGAGTATAGTATTTTAACTCTATTGCTGCAGTTACTCTCAGAAATATACTCCTAACACCGATGGTCAGCTGATAGCAGGGTCAACCATTTAACCCACAAGACATTTACAGTGGGAGGTGGTTAGGAGAATAAATTGCTTGACTGAATTTTAGTTCTTACTCCCAAGAACCAAAATGGCAGATTCTTCTTCATTACTCCCAATTACCTCAAAATTAGTGTCAATAATCTAAAACATATAGTTAATAACTAAAAATGAAGTACAGAAGCTATAACCCAAAGCCTACATTTATTCAAACATATCACAACTACAGAATGCTACATGTACAAGCCTGTTAAGTGCCAAGAAGTAAACCATGGAATATGAATTTCTAACTTTTTCTCACAACTATAGGATAATTTCTACCCTTAAAATGACTTTCTCTATTAAGTTTAACACTTATCAATTCTTACTGAGATATAGAAGCAAAAACTTGTCTAAAACAGAAAGGAAATTTGGGGTTTTAAAATGAAAAAACAAACAAACAACAAACAAAAAAACAAAACAAAACAAAAACTCACCTCATAAAGTTTAGGAAACAAACTAGGAAGCCAGGGAAGCTACATTTCTGAAAGACACATTGTTTATAGTTGTGATAACTTCACTACATGCTAGTCATGTGACAGTACCCTAGGAACTAGAATTCCTTCAAAAAAAGCAAGGTTATTCTTACCTTATTGGCTTTCTACAACTACTCTGATACACATGCACAAGGACAAAGTTGACCAAATGTCATGGTCACTGTTCACTGTTCACTGCTAAGGAAAAGCTCTATGAGGACAGGGAACATGTCTGATCTAATTAACCAACTCTAGAGAAATCTATATTTTGCAAACTAACACACAATGGCCCTGAAATGCTTCTGAATAAGCAGCAGAGTTTGTGTATTTACTACAATGCCATACATTATGTTATGTTTTAAATCCACATTTTTTCCTTTTTTTTTTTTTTTTGGTGGGGGGGGCCATTGGAGACAGGGTTTCTCTGTGTAGGTCTGGCTGTCCTGGAACTTATTACTCTGTAGACCAGGCTAGCCTTGAACTCAGAGTCTGTCTCTACGTCTCAAGTGCTGGGGTTAAAGGTATATACCAGCACCATCGGCCACAGTTGCATTTTTAAAATTTGAGGTCTTGAAAGTTATATCCATATATTATTAACACATAGTTACTCATGCATATATTCATATACACTGTGAAACAAGCTAAATATTTTAGCATAATTATTAGAGGCTTTAAGGGGAAAAACAAGTATCTATTTTATATTCTAAGACGCTAGTTGTAGTTTAGAAATATAACAATAATCTTCAATATATAATGTTCTGTACCAAATTTAAGAGAGATAGTCAAGAAAACTCAAGACTTTAGTAATACTAGTCATTGCACACTCTCAAAGGGCAAAGCTGACTAGATTTCCCAGCAGTGAAAGGTCTAGCCGTTACCGTCTGCACTCTAGAACACACAATAAAATATGAAGGGATGGGGAGGGTAAGCCACAAAGGAAGCTGACGTTTATTTCTGAATCTGCCTCACCCTTCTAACCACAAGGCCGATGAAACTTTGCCTTAGCTGGGGGAGGGGTGGAAAAAAACTTGCCCAACATGTTAAAAAACAGGAACAATGCCGTTTTTTTGAGAATAGTGAAAAATGAACTTAGACTTACTTTATAGTTTCTTTTGTATTGCTAAAGGGAAATATATTCTCAAACACTGACATTTTAAAATTAAAATTTAAAAGCCAGCTGATATGAAAAGGTAACTTTGTAGTTTTCCACATATTACAAAATATGCAAGCCTCCCAGAAAGGTAAGCTCAGACCCCCCCAGCCTCACTTTACAAGGCTTGCACACTAACACAGGTCACAAGCTTGAAAGGACTTTAAAGTTCATGGAAGATTAAAAAATAATATGATTTTAATTGCCAAGGTTGAAAATCAAATATGCCAATATCTACCATGTGAGTCATTAGCCCAAAGCAATTCAAAGACACAATTTAAGTTTCTTCCATTGAGACATCTGATGCTGGAATATTAGCAATCTGACTTTGTTTTAATCAAATCCTACCACGAACTTTTGCTTTTAAATGTTTAAAAAGCAAACTAACCCCAATTTATGATAGTCCCTTATGACATCACCTCTGTAAGACAATTTAAAGCTAACAGTGGCCGACTCAAGGTCTCTAAAAAGGAAAACAACAACAACAACAACAACAACAACAAAAAACCAACAACAAAAAACCCTCTCATTAGCTACTATCCCTAATAAAGTTAACCATCCAAATAGTAACCTAGAAAAATAATTAAGAATGTTAAGAATGTTTCTTGTTATACAGATTAAAACAAGTTGTTTTCTAAGTATCTATTCAAAGCAATTTCCAGATGTTTTGCAATAAAAGGTAACTTGAACACATTTAGTTTACTTTCTCAACTAAGAAGAAAAGATAGCACAACTAAGAACATCACACAAATTTTGATTCAAAGCAATGGCAGCTCAGGTAACTCCTAGCTCAAGCAAAGTAACACAATGCTATATGATACAGACTGGGCATATCTAATGCTAAAAGGGGGTGGAAGGGAGGAAAGGGAAACAAAGTATAGGAGGCAGACAAACATTCAATGGCATGCTGGGTTTCTTCAATAGTCTACTTACAATCTAAAAGGAAGCTATTAACAATGCTGTGTCTAATACTAGGTCTCCCATTTTAACAGAAGCAATCAGAAGCAGAAAGTTGTCCAGAAGGGGGTAACTGCACCCAGGAAGGCTTTCTGGACACTTGATCATATGATAAGCACTTAAGGGAATTAGCAATGATCAGCTTTGTTTTAATATTTGAAAGCCTATAACATAAGTATATATTACATGCAGCTACAAAAAAGAAAACTGTCTGTCAAATAGAGATTAGTAGAGCAGAAAGCAAAACATTCTATGGCTGTGAGATGGGTAGGTTCATCTTTATGTTATAAAAGGAGGACTGTGTGAACCATCTGAAAGAGTGGAAAGGCCAGGGCTTGCCTCTACTAAACATAAAAGACACAACCAAAGAATTAGCTTTCACAGCCAGCCAATCTGAGATTCCACACTGAGAATTTCAGGTGAAAATTAATCATACTGTTTTATATCCCATCCATCAATAAAAATGGATTTTGATAGCCAGGCGGTGGGTGATGGAGTACACCTTTAATCTCAGCACTTGGGAGGCAGAGGCAGGCAGATCTCTGTGAGTTCCCGGCTAGCCTGGTCTGCAAAGCTAGTTACACAGTGAAACCCTGTCTCGAAAAATCAAAAAATAAAAATGGATTTTGTAGACCACAGTAGCCTAAGTCAAAACAATGACCATCATCACCACCACATACCCTGAAAATCTATATGACCACTGTCTTCTAACCCTTCACAAGCACATTTAATTAAACCTAAGGAGACACACAACAGACAAATAACTTGGCACAGCTTTCCTGATTCTCATACATACTAAAATTACTGTAGTACTAAATATAAGAAACGTATATTTGGTTAAGCTAAGGCAGAATTTATACAGGTTTCTATTTATAGAATACCAATTCTTTATGCTATAAAATTGTGATATCAGATATGAGTTATATCTTACGAAAGTGTGTGTATATGTGTGTGTGTGTGTGTGTGTAATGGAGAAGCATCCCTTTATTTCTCTTTTAGACAAACACAGTAGCTAGAAATTGAAACAAATGTATTAAAACAAAAACATATAACACTATATAAAGCACTTTACAAATACTAAGTAACTTAACCCTAGAAAAATCTAAAAAAAATAAATGCAATTACCCTCATCTTTTTTTTCAGAAGAGGACACTGGCACTAGGAGGTATTGTAATTTAACTGAAGACATACAGATAGCCAACAGCAGAGCCCAGATGGGGACTTGGCAGCCTAAGATGTCCCTTCCCATTCACAGATGCAGAAAGAAATGAAATCTGAAGGTGGGTGGGAGGTTTAATATGAACTCTTCCATAGATTTGATTTTCTAATCAGCCAAGAAAGCAGAAATAGTGACTTTTCTTTCTAATCACTTATAATGGTTCCAAGTGAATTTTATGGCAGAAATAAAAAAGTTTAATCTAGACAGCACACATATCAAAGTCTCCTTACCTCCCCAGTTCTTTCGATGTAAGTGTATAGAAATTATTAAAATTTTCCATCTTTATCGGTGTTTGAGGAGTTGTAGTTAGTAACCCTGAGCTACTTCGGCAATCGAACCTTCTCCGAGACATGTTAGATGACTGCCAGGTCTGCTTCTCTGGGAACTTACTTTTACCTAGTTAAAAGAAGAAACAGGATGCAACTTAAATGTAACTAAGAAAAAGAGACATTATCTCAGGCAGGATGTGCGCTACATCACACAACTCCAAATATAGTATTAAGATAGAACCACTATGCAGATAGGGCTGATTTCAGGGGCTTAAGCTATTTACAAGGAGAAAATACCAGATGCTCACATGGACAAAAACTGGTACCCCCTCCTCTATGGCACCTAAACAAAGCTACTGACTTCATTTCCAAATGAAATTACTATAAAAACAATAAGAAATCATTATGATAAAAATGGAAATGAGGTGATCACTTTATTTGGTTGTGAACTATTATTCTTTAAAGCCACAATTTTCACACACCTTTGTAATTTAACACAACAATGTAATGACTTTTGTTTTAACTTCATATGGCCAAACAAACTTGGTGGCAAACTCACATTTTGTGAATTATATTACAGTCCTGTGAAATATAAGAAATAGAATCTGTTCATGGATTGGTTACTTGCCAAAACTGAATCTAGAAATTCCCCTGCACCTTACGAGTTAGTTCTTCCTCAGGCAGAGCCCAATGCTGAGGGTGCCACGCATGAAAACACAATCATTTTGCTGGGCCAGAGACTGATCATAACGGAATTACCACCCAGAGTTCAAATCCAAACCTGAAGTTCATACTGTCTACAACTTTTGAGACCTTATGTAACCAGTTTTAGTATGGAATTATCAACTGATATTAAAACTTTATTAAGTTTTACTATCAAACTACTATTTTCATATTAACTGAATTATGTAATTATAGTGGACTCTGTGCCACATCTGCCTAATGAAAGATCAGGAATTATTCTGCTAGCATTCTCCTATAACCCTCTAGTCTGTTCCCATTACTACACACCCCATCACCACTTCCTGCTTGAGAGCAACTGTGTTTTTACTTTGCTTCATTCAAACGCTGTCTACTATCTTCTACTTGGCAAACAGTGTGACTAGAGTACAGCTTTCTGTTCGATTTTCAAATCTGTAAATTGCTCCTCTGTAACCTCTGGCCCCGCAGAAAAACAATTCTCTGTGTTGGAGATACATCTCTAGGAGTCCAAGATTACCAATACAGTATACTAAATAACAAACACTGAAATGCTCCTAGGTCTGCATTCCATTTACTCTTCATTCGGCAAGAAGGCCGTACAGTTTTCAGTTCACTACTGTATCAGTCTGCTTCTTGTTACTATACTGGAAGTCCAATATAGTCACTGAACTATTAATAAAAATAAATGTACTTGTTTTAGCTTACAGTTCTGGAAGTGCAAGGCCACGAACCCTCAAATGATGGTGGCCCTCTTGCTGGAGAGTTCCAAGATATCACAAAGCATCACATGGCAAGAGACAAAGAGTGTGTGCACATGTCTGGTCTCTTTCCCTCCTTTCATAAAGCGACTGGGAAGCTTCATCACCATGGGGGTTCTAACCTAAGGACCTTATCTAATCCTAATCACTTCCCAGTGACTCTTAGCACAGACTTGAAGTCCTCATCCTCTTAATACCTCACAATGGTTGGGTGTGATGGTACACATACCTTTAGTCCCAGCACTCAGAGGCAGGCAGGATTGCTAAGAGTTGAGGCAAGCCTGAAATATACAATGAGTATGAGGTCTGCCAGGACTACACACCAAACCTTGTCTTCAAAGGGGAAAGAAAGCACCTCACAATGAAAATTCAACATGAGTTTAGAGGTAACAGTATATTCAATCCTAGCCATTACCATTATAAGCCAAGCTACATCTTCCTTGTATTTGTTAGTGGAATATTAACTCCAAGTACCTTACACTGAATCTGCTTTTTCAGATAAGGGCTTTTAAGGTGGTGACTAAAGTAAAATGAGACCATTAAAGTAGGTCCTAATCCACTAGTGTTCTTATAAGACAAAAATAAATGTAAAAACACATGAAAGACAAGTGACAATATTGGCAGAAAATGACCAAAGTGGACAGTTGCCTGGTTTCTTTTGTTTGTTTTTAAGGGTCTCACTATGCAGTTCAGGTTAGCCTAGAAAACTCTGTGTAATCCTGGCTCACCTTGAACTAGTTATAATCCTGTCTCTTGAATGCTAAGATTATAGATAGGCCTGTGCCATCACACCTGGTGCTCAGTTAACTTTTTCATACCTTCTTGGTTCTGAAGACATTCAGTTTCACTGGCCACATTTTATTGTGAAAAAATCAATACAGTTAGGGTAAGGCTTTTCTGTACCACCTTTGAATTTTAGAATCTAAAATTTTAGAATTTAAAATCTAATGTTTGTACCTACACTTAAAAGTCCATGCTTATGATTACAATTAATATTATTCTCGTTTTCATAAAGAAAAGGGACAGGCCTCATCACTGATACAATTGGGCTATCTTCCCAAAACTTTTCAAAAACAAAAAAACATGGCAATTAATCAGAGAGACAAGTTTATGAGTTTCCATTTTTCTTTCATATAGATTTTAGATCCTATGTTTTTGCCTCTCAATGAAACTAAAACTAATAAACATTTTACGAATAAGCATTTTCTACTCTCAGTTTTCAAGAGGTAATATGATCCTTTTAGGGCATCAAAGATTTATGTTCAATTAAGTATGATTTATAGCTTTAAAAATACTACAAAAAACTTGCTGAATTAATAAACTCTAAAACCCACAAATTAGGACACTCAACAAAGTTGCACTTTCAAAGATTATTTTTTACCTCAGTAAGTATGAAAAAGTAAAGATATAAAAGTTTATAAATAGTATGATAAATAAGTTCAAGAGCCATTGGTCAAGTTTTTCAAGGCTTCAAATTTTTTCTTTGCATTTACATATAGCTGACGGTGTTCATTATCCAAATCATAGGTCAGATCTCATGCAGAGACCATGTACGACTTCAGGCTATATATTAAATAAAAATCAGTATGCTGTTTAATGTTACACAAAACATACTTAGCATTTTTGACTAAACTTAATTTTAACTATATATAATGAGTAAGTAAGTAACTTTAAAATATATAGTTTTCTCAGGGACATTTTGGCAGAGAATTTAAGAGCTGGATGAGTGCTATGAAATGCTGTCCTTCAGGCAAGACATGGCTGTTGCACATATCAACTAACATCACCTGCACACGATCAAGCCCTTAAATGTTCTAGCATGGAGGGGAGGTGCTCCCACTGCCCTGCCCCTAGCTGAGGAGCTATTAGTAAAAAGTCGATGACTATTAGAGAGGGAAAGCCACTTTTCTTTAGGAGTGTGGCCACTGATAGATACACTGTATATGTGTATGTAATTTTCAAAGAATAATTCTACACACATACACACAGAGTGGGTAATGAGAAAAGTCCAAAATTAGGAACCTTCAAGAGCCCAAAATGGGAGATCCAAGTATAATATTGAGAATTAACTTTGGCCTGTTGTTTAGTTATATGAGGAGGAAAGGAACTTAGTTTTCTTTTCTTCTTCTTTTAATAAAAGGAAGTGAAATGCATAATGATAGTCTAAACCAGATCTTACTGATCAGCCCACTTAAAGGATTTTCATAATTTGTCTTTGGCATGTATTACCTTATACCCCAATGAATTCTATAACTCATGTGAACTGACGGCCATGATAATGGATGAATATACCACAGGTACTTGTATGACAATAGATGAAGCCAAAAACAAAGTTGGGCAATTGCAGTTTTCCAAAGACATTTAAATACACAAATGAATTTTGATGCTATGACTCATTTCATTATGGCTCTGTATCTCGTAAGATATGAACTTTGCCTCAGAAGAGACTAGACTGTAGGCACATCTGTCTATTGCTAATATACCTGCATTGAAAGCTGTTTAAGGATCCATACAGCCTTCTTGTTTGCCTCCTCCTATTTTCTTAAAAGAGTTGTCAGTCTAGGTATTTTGCTATTTCTCCTCCTTTACCAATTTTGCCTATAATGGAGCACAAATGTCATCTCTGTCCACCATTATCTTAACAAATAGAGGTTGTCTGTCATGTAATACACATTCAGGTTACCCATCAGTTCTGTCTCTCCTTATATGACCTAAAATTATCACCAAACTCTCAATTCTAATAAACAATCCATAGATCTTCTCTTCTACAATTCATAGACTTATAACCAATTCTAACAAGAATGTAACATACTAAGTTCACAAATTGCCAATATATCTTACTCACTTTGAAATCATTTCATATTTTATCAGACTACACCAATGAAGATATCTTAAGGGACTTAGTAAATTTGTTTGTAAGCAATTACAGACACAGTGCCAGAAGGCATAAATGCATAACAGAAGATACAAGTAAGATTTCAATCATACACTAACATGGTGTCATACTCTTTCCAGTTTTTTTCATTAACTCCAATTATAATAATTACAATAAGGATTCAGATATGAATCAATGAAAGAAGGAAGAGAAGGAATTGTTAGATTTGATCTGTGCCTTGGCTGAACTGAGTGGAGAAGGCCAGTATGATGAACACTAAATAAATATCCTTCTAAACCTCTAACCAGCTACATTTAAAAGTTATTTATTGTAATATTCATTTCAAGGTTATCAAATGAAAAGAGCTTATGAATGTAGAGACTACAGAATACAACACTGAATACATTTGGAAATAAGTTCCTTCATTAGCTCCAGGTACTACAACTTAAAATCATTTGTAGCATGACACTCAAAGCCCTGGGAGCTCAGTATACCCTTGCTCCATTTCCCATCATGCTTCAATCTCATATTTTATCTCCACTTCTTTGCTTTACTTCTCTGTCTGAAAAACCCTTTCTACCTTTCCTTAAATGGCTACTTCTTATCATGCTCTGCTCCAGGAAGCTTTGCCTAAAAGCCACAAGTTGATTTAAATGCCGACTCTTGACATACCTCTTTACTTGAAAATTTCATGTTAGACTGCAATCACACTTTGTGTCTAAAGGACAATAACCTTGTGCTTGAGCTTAAAAAACTCAGCATGGTGTCCCTTGTAAGAATTTAGAAATATTGGATAAAAGTCTAAATGATAAAACACAGCAAAATACATTTTTTAGGTATATGTAAAGTGATTAGCCCGAGATTCATTTTGAAATTGCAGTACTGAAGCTTTCATTATAGTTCCTGCCTATTTCAGAGCAGTTGGCTAATTATGAAAGATTTAAAATTGCTCTTACAGAATTTCAGTTCAAAACAAGGTAGTCACATGACCCAGAAATGTGAATAAAATAATTTTTATCGTCTAGTGTAATGCAAGACTTAAAAAACATGTAGTCTGAATTTATTTCAGATTAGGTGATCACTTGTTTTCACGTCACTATCTATGTTAGCTAAGAACACCCTGAAAGCCAGATAGTTGTCCTATCTTCATGAAGTAAATGTGAATGAATATGGCAGAGAAGCAACTTCTCTCTTCTATGTGGGTACCAATGAGACCAAGTAGTGTCTAGGAAAAGATAAACTAAAGATTTATTTGTCTAGAATCCATTAAAAAAGAACTTTCTGCTGTGTTGAAGAATATGTTTCAGTTGGGCAGGGACTGGAAAACAGCACCAGTGTTGACAGATGATGACTTCTATGTGCTACGTGGTCTACTGACAGTATTGTACCGTTATGTTTGCTTTTAAATACTCAATAGCAAGCATAATTCAATAATCTAATCCCCTGAAAATCACAACAGAAAGCCAACTGACTCTGGTCCAAGCACTGGGGTAGACTTCACAGGGTTACAGTCCCAGGCAAGGAACCCAGCCTGACACTGGGCCAAGACAGTCAGGCCTGCTGCCACCTCTTCACCTTCAGCAAAGAACAAATTCTGTAGTTGTGAAGGATGAGAAGATGTTGAAAAATGGAAATAATGGTGGGCCAGCTCGTGAGTGACAGAGCTTGTCACTCATCATATAGAAAATTGGGTTTCTATTGTAAAATAAATTACCATACCATTTACTAACAGCACCACCAAGTACTGTTTGTTCAGTAACTATTACAATGCAAAATGGAACCTAATCCTTCAAGGATTAAAAAACATTTGCCATTCCACCTTTAAAATTTCTCAGTGCTTAATACATACATTCTCTTTTGGACTAGTAGGAAAGAGCAAAGGGATCAAACAAAACGTATTAAGTATAGATATTTAAAAGAAAAGTCATTTACATGCACAAAATAACCAAGTATGAATTCCAAGAAAGTAATTTAATGAAGTGTGCATTCAAAATCGCAACTTTTATCACAATATAATCATGTGAAAATATATATTTGTAACTTAATTGAAAAGAATATTTGTCTGCTTTGAACCCACTACCAAAACAACAACAAAAAATAAAAACAAAAACCCAAAAACAACAACAACAAAACTATCTTTTTCTAGTAGTCTGGTATAGAAAACAAACTATGTATGGTTGTATATATCGCTCTGTTGGTAGACTGCCAATATTACATGCATAAACCACAGGTTCAATCCCCAGCACTGCCATATAAACAGATAATCCAAATTGAGTTGATATGGTGGTACAAGCCTTTCATCTCAGCACTTGGAAGGCAAAGGCAAGCAGATCTCCAGTTCAAAGCCAGCCAGGTCTATAGAATAAGACTCTGTCTTAAAAAGCAAAAATACTTTAAAACTGGTAGGCACAACTTGGGATACGGCTCAACAATAGAGCAAATGTCAAGGTATAAAAAGTAAGAATCCCAGCATTCGGGAGGCAGGGGCAGGCGGATCTCTGTGAGTTCCAGGCCAGCTAGTTCCAGGACAGGCTCCAAAGCAATACAGAAACCCTGTCTTGAAAACCAAAAAAAAAAAAAAAAAAAGTAAGAATTCTAGACACAGCAAATATGCATTATAATATAAAGAAAACCTGAGGATAAAATCATTAAATTTGAAACTGATTTTCTTGATTCATGAGTTTTAAATTGAGTCTCTAAAATTAAACGTAGAAATCCTCCTTGATAATTATCAAATTGCTACAAAACTAAGCGTTGAAACATGTTTATATGTTCACTTAGTACCAGCAAGCTCTGCATTGTTAGTACTTTTTTTGTTTTTTGAGAAAGGGTTTCTCTGTGTAACAGTCCTGGGTTGTTCTAGAACTCACTCTGTAGACCAGGCTGGCTCTCAAACTCCCAGAGATCTGCCTGCTTCTGCCTCCGGGGTTAAAAGCCAGTTTAATCCCAGCTTCTGGGATTAAAAGCCAGTGACCACCACTGTCTGGCTGTCAGCACAAACTAAAAAGTATCTGCCATTAAATGCCTGCATTTTCTATAGATGTTATTCACATTGATTAATGAAGCCTCCATTAAAATGCCATTTCTACCTTAACCAAACTGTAATTTCTTTTTTTCTTAATTTGTTATATCACATGCAGGTGGAGAGGTCCGTGAGAGCCGGTTCTCTCTTTCTACCTTATAGGTCCTGCGGATCAGGGCATTTGGGTTGGGGACAAGCATGTTCTGGCAGAGCTATCTGCCCAACCTGGAACTGTAATTTCTTACTTGAAAATCCAAGAGAAATGGTCACCCATACTATCCACATACAAAAAAAGACTTTCATTTACAGAAATGTTATTTTTTCTAACTTAAACATACTTTCATGAAAGTAAATGTACTTTAATAGTAAATCTTCATTTTAGAAAATTATCTAAAATGTATGTGTATCTCAAAAATTAACAATTACTTGAAATATTAAAATTATCAAAAAATAAATTAATATCAGAAGAGGACCAGGAAAGAAGACAGGTCTTAAACTTGGTCACTAGCTTTTTGAAATACACACAATTTTAAAGCAATGTGATTCTATGTTTATGAAACTGTTGAAAACCATTTCTGGGCATCTCACCGTGAAGACTGTACAACGGTGTACCAACGAGAAAGTGAGTTTATACCTCTCTGTCATAAAACTGTGCTCCTTGAGTTCAAAATTCCATGTTGCATATGCCTTTACTTGCCTAGTTACCGCTGCAGACTCTGCTGCCCGAGACACAGTTTCACTCTCCTAGACTTGAAAACTTTTAAAAAGTTCACACACACCGTATCAAACCTGCAGGTGAGGTTTCAGCACTATCGGTACCATGGATGTAAACATGACGTCATCCAGACACTTGGGTGAATGTCATACACGGACCTAATGTTTGAGTATGATTGAAATTACTATGCTTTCGGACATATTTCTTAATTCCAACTTGCAAGCTGAAGACAGCGCGCCACTAGACTGGCCACCAGCTGGCCGGAAAGTTTCTTTCAACTTTGTCTCCACTCATCTCTATCCCGAGAGTCTTTTCCCACGGTAAGGCCGGGCCGGGGTAAAGGTTCAAACCGTGGCCATGATGTGACTGTCCGGTCTGCGGATGGGTCACAAGCAAGGAGGGCTTCCCGCCCCCTTAAAGGGAAGCGGGGAAGTCACGGCAACAGCTCAGCTCGGCTCGCCACGCCGAGACTGACAGCAGCCCACGCGATGGCCGCAAAGTTTCTCAGCGGCTGCGGGCCGGGCGCGCCCGGCCGCCCCGACATGAAGGCGTCCGTCCCGCGCCCACAGCACGCGAGCCCGCGAGCCGCAAGGAGGACCACGTCCGCACGCCGTGGTGGAGGCGATCGGGCAAGGCCACGCTCCGGGACGCCGGCCCTCGGGCTCCCCGCCGCGTCCGCGCGCCCCGCACCCCCGACGCCGGCGGACCGCTCGGCCGCAGCCGCAGGCTCTGCCCTCTCCCCGACGGGACCGCGACTACACAGGCTCACCTCGCACTCTTTCCCCACAGCGGCCGGCCGCCGTCAGCCAGGCCCCGGAGAGGCGAGTCCCGGCGGCGACCGCACAGACGCTGACCGAAGCTTCTTACAGTTGAGGTTTGAAAAGTGCAGCGGCGTCTGGGGCGCTGGACTTGGACAGACTCCGCCTTCTCCTGCCGAGTACCCAATCGGAGAGCGCGATGCGGGTGGGGTCGTCACGTGGGGGGCGGGGCGGGACGCCGGCCGGCCGGCCGCGCTGCTGAGGGGGCGGGGCCGCAGTGGGGGAGTGGGCGGGGACTGGGCTGAGCGCCTGGCGCCTGGAGGCTTGTCTGCCGGCAGTCTACGACTGGAGAGTGGCCGGCTTTAGCCCCTCTGGACTTTTCCCCCTCTGTAGAGCGGTCCCTGGAGGTGTGAGTCCTGGGACGCCAGAGAGGAAAGAAGACTGCCTCTGTGACTACCACAGGCCTTTTTTTTTTTTTTTTTTTTTTAAGACTTTAAGACTTCCTCGTCCTCTTCCTTACCACCTGAACCTACAACCTACTCTACAAATAGAGATTTCAGTTTGCTACCAATTCCGGGAGAAGTTCTTGGAACCATAAACACAACTGATTAACTGATCCTGGTCTCTATAGCTGGGTGTCCTGAGACACTGGCTCAAAGCATTGTAGGAGACACCGAAGACGAACTAATTGCTACTTTACTGTGCTAAGGGAAAGGATGAAAACCTGTATCCACTCAACAGGCATTGCTAACTTCTTTATTTTTTTGTTTTTATGACAGTGTTAGAATCCAAAGAGAACTCAGGGCCTTTGGCATGCTAAGCAAGGGCTCCACCACTGAGTTCCACCCTGCCCCTAGGATGTTACCTCTCGAAGACAAGTTAAAAATTTGAAATTTCCGTGCTAGACACAATAGGTTTACGTATGTATAATACTGGATTACTTACAGGTATTATATACACATAGAACCTCAGATTGGTGAAGGTTTTTGTTGTTATTGTTTGTAGGATTGAAAAACTATTGGCGAAAGATACTGTGAGTGGAGTTCTCTTGCATTTAAGAGATCTTAGCAACATTTTTAAGGGGAGCTGTTCTTCCTCTGTCACATTTAACCAAGATTTCCTCAAGCCATCCTATTCTTCCTCCTAAGATAAAAGCATTTAAAGCATCACAGCCATTTCTCGAAGTCTGTTGTTATTAAAGACAGGCTTCAGTATAATGTACCGATTCTCTAAGCTTTGTCCAACTGAGAAGATTGCATCTTTCTGGTCAGGGAAGCCTAATGTGAGGATGGAAATAATGTCACACACTGAAATATATTTGTCAGATGTCCACAAACCAATGAGACTGTTTTCTGTATTTTTTTTTTTTTTCAGGAAAAATTAGGTGCATCCCAAAGTCTCTGTATCAAAGCTGGAGCCAGTACCCTCTCGGGGCTCTCTGTGGTGGTTTTTGGTGTATACATGTGTAACTGTACTCTTTTAATTTCTACAATTCCTTGGTTGCCAGTTTTTATGTGTGGAAGGGTGTATTTGTGTGTTTATGTGTGGCTGTGTACATCTGTGTGCATGCATGTGGAGGCCAGAGGTCTCCTCATTAACTCTCCACCTTACTTTTGAGACAGTCTCTTCCTGTACCAATTCAACTAGGCCAGCTGACCAGTGAACTTTGGGGATCCATCCACCTGTTTCCACTTGCTCTGCACTGGGATCACAGATGACAAGTTCAGGCACCATTGTGTCCAGCTTTTTACATGGAGATCTGTACTAAGGTCCTTGTGGTGGCACAACAAGCATTTTTACCAACTGAGACATCTCCCAAGCCAACATAAAAAAACAAAAAACAAACAAACAAAAACAAACCACTTTTAATTTCAATCCCTTGTATTCGAGGAGTTTGTGCACGTGAGTACAGGTGCCAGAGGAGGCTGGAAGTGCTGCCCCCCACCCCACCTGAAGCTGGTGAGCTACCCATATGGATACTGGAAATTGAATTCAGATACGCTACAATAGTAGCAAGTGCTTTAACCAGTGAGACATTCATCTACCACCACCTGACTGCCCTGCCACCAGCTTTTAAGCTGTCTTCTCACATTCCATTTAGTTTTGAACTGTAAACAGGTTGCCTTCTCCAGCAATCAGAACTCTTGATTGAGTTGTGCTCTGTGGTCACCCTGTATTCACTGGTGCAAGGATTTCACCTGTGTGTTACTTTTGTGCTCCTATTCCAGATTCATTTCTGCCATTGTGCTAAAAATATCCTGACAACTGTCATAAGCAACTTATGGAATAAATAGGTTTATTTCACTTACGGTCTCAGATACAGCTCATCATTGTGGAGAAGTCAAGGCAGGAAATTCAAATGACGGAGTTATAGTCTCCGTCAAGAGCAGAAAGAAATGAATGCATGCTTGCTCATTTGCTTGTACTCAGTTTCTCTACTGTTGGGCTGTAAATCTTGCCTATGGAAGAGTGCTGTCCAAAGTGGCCTGGTCTTCCCATGCCAGGTAACTTAATTAAGAGACCTCCCCACAGGCAGGACACTGGCCAGTCCAGTATAGACAATCATTAACTTCTTAGGGGATTCTAGGTCAAATTAACAAACCTAACCATCAAAATTCCATATCCCTATACCCGATGCCAGACATTCAGCTACAATTTGCTTGGCCTCTGGTTCAAGTAACAAGGGATATCCTATTCTGAAGAGAGCACCTGTGGTCTTTCAAGAAAATTCGGGATTCAGTGTGCTCATAGTCATGTTCTTATTGTTGTTCCTTTGAAGAGGAAATCCTCACATAGTGTGATGATCATTTTGTTGTCATTGCCTCTGCCCTGTTTATTGAGCTGATCTCCTTGAACACCACTGACCAGGCATGGTGGTGATTACAGACTGATTGGATTCTTCTAATTCGTTTGCACCTTATATGAACATTAATATAGGACTGTATTTGGAGATGTGACCTTTATATATAGGCAGTTAAAGTATGATGAGGTCATATAAAATTACCTTAATATAGTGTGACTGCTGTCCTGCTTAGAAGAGAGTCACCCACAGCACAGACATAGAGACAATCATGTAAAGATACCCTAAGAAGGTAGCCATCCGTGAGCCAAGCAGAGACTGCTCAGAAGACCATCAACCTGACACTGTAGGAAGGCCAGTTATCATTCTTTGAGCTCCTTACTCTGGTATCTGTCAGGGCAGCTCTGACTACCCCCCTTAAAATTCAGACTAGGAGTAGGTGGTCCTTCCCGTTAATGCTAGTGAATCATGCTCATGTACAAACTGCTCACTGATCTGCTCTGATCATGCCATTATGTCCATCACATCAGGAAAAGTGACCTTCCCCAGGCCCACGATCACATATTGACCAGAGAAAGCAACTCTCATTCATGATCTCATGTTTAATACCTACAGAGGGAGAGGATGGTAGTGTTCTTCATAGAGAAGGCTGCAAACCCCAACTCCAGCCACATCGACCTTCAAAGAATACCCAGAATGCATATTTTACACACACACACACACACCACGTGTGTGTGTGTGTGTGTCCTTATATATTAAATTCAATCCACACAGAAAGAGGAAAAAAAACAAAACACGTAACTATTGACTTAATTAGGTTTTCTATTGCTGTGATAAAACACTATGACCAGAAGCAACTTGGAGAGGAAAGGATTTATATCATCTTACACTTCCCTATCACACTCCATCACTGAGGGAAGTCTGGGCAGGAACTCAAGGCAGGAATCTGGAAGCAGAGGCTGATGGAGAAGACATTGAGGAATGCTTCCTATTGGCCTGCTCTCTCATGGCTTGTTCAGCCTGCTCTCGTATAGCACTAAGGACCACCTGTCCATGGGTGGTACCATCCGAGGTGACCTGAGTCCACCCACATTGATCATCAATCAAGGAAATGTACCATAGGCCAATCTGGTGGAAGCATTTTCTCAATTGAGGTTCCTTCTTCCAGAATGACTCTAGCCTGTGTCAAGATGACACAGAACTATCCAGCACATCGATCCATAGCCAAGTAATCTGGACATTTGTGGCCAGACTGAAGGCAGCTAGACATAAGGCAAGTCAAGCACTTCTGTAGAGGTGTGGCATAAACTTCCACCCAAGAGAGGAACTAACACTGGATGGAGGTCAGGCCTCGAAATACTACTCTCTGAAGGCAAAGATTGTCACTTTCAGATGTCAGAAGAAGGCAGCAGAGTGCTTATTACCCACAGTGCTTACGCACATCACCTACATGCAAGCCCCTTGAACCACAGAGACTGATTCTGATCTCCTTCCACTCCTAGACCCTGTTAGCAAAAGTAATTGGGGCAAGTCTTTCCAGCTAACAACAGTGACTCAGGATGAGTCAGGTCTTCCTCAAACGGCAACACAATTCATGACGGACTAGGGCCATTATGCCAATCCAACCACCCACTATAAGTTTATAGGAGAGGACCTACAAGCCATCTAAAAAAAATACCAGGCACATTAGTAATTCTAAGTGTTATAATAGCCATATTTAAAAAATAAAATCAGTTAATTTTGATACTACATTTTTTGAACGTAGGATATCTAAAGTATTGACATTTCAAGATAGAGTGAATTATTGGGATATTTTGCTTCCTTTTTATATTTATTTTATATTCAATAGCACTTTCAACCATTAGATGTGCTTATAGCTCACAATATTTGCCATGGAATAAAACAGATTCACTTGTACAAGTTACTTTGAGTATATTAATTTTTGAAGTAAATGACCATAGTATCCATTTCTTAGTTCAATTTAAATAAAAAGAAATAAAATGAAAGTTCAGTCCCATTAGCCACATTTCAAGTGCTCTATAGCCATGTGTTGGTGATTACTTCACCATATAGCGTGGCAAGGCTGGAAATGCTCTCTTTTAATTGGTCTAACTCTCAAATTGTCTAATTCAATGCTAGCAGTAATACATGCTTTCAATAAGTCATAGTATCAGAAAAATTTGGAATTTCAAATATCATTAAGTCCAATAGCCCAATTTCCTTGGTTTTCTAAAGTAAAAAAGAAAAGTAAAAGGAGTAAGAGAAGGTATGGACTTGAAAAGAATCACAAACCTAAAC